GGGGAGAGGGATGGAGCTGCGCCAGCGCCTGCGGACGAGGGAGGGGAACGGGCCGCGTCCCGGCCCCCGAGGTGGGGACGGGGAAGCCTGTTACCGAAGCGTTTTAAAGCCTTACGAAAACTCATTTAAATTCATGTATCGATTCTTTATTAAAAGCTCCGGGAGAGAGGATGGTTGGAGTATGACAGTGAGTTCTGCTCCCTGAGGAAGAGCTGTTGCCAGTTCCCCAGTGAATGAGTCCCAGTGCAGGGTCCAGCCGCCTTTCTGGGGACAGGGTCTCGCTGCGGGCCGAGGTGAGACAAGTGGGTCTGGCCGTAGCACATGGCAGCGTGCAGCTGCAGTGGCCACATGTCACCCAGCTTTCCCCTCGCTCACACGGGTGTCAGCAGCAGTTTAGCATCTGTTGCTCAGAGTTCAGCAAAGGCTAGTCAACTTTTTTTCAAGTTCGTGAAGAACTGATCTTAAATTTTTCAAGTCTTGGGCAGCAGCACCAGAAGGGACCACACGGAGTGCATAAATCTGGGAAAACAGAACTGGGATTTATGTAAGCAATAAAAGTTGTTCTGCTTTTATTATACTAGCATGACTTATGCCAATGTAGATGGGGAGTTGGATAAATGTTATGAGACACATTCATGTTAGTAAATGGTGCCCTTTAGAGGGCTTTTGCAGGTGCCAACCATACTGTAATAAAAGGTTTTTAACCCTAACCAGAATAGTTATGCTACTACAAAAGCTGTGGGTACATTCAGAATCTGAGGATGCGTCTGGAGATTTCCCAGCTAGAGTGCCATGCTGTGGGCCTTTTCCTGGGTGCTCAGCCTTACCAGTTAACTTTCGTCTGGGAATTTGGTGTATGCAGGAGGGTAAATCCCCAGCAATCTCTGTTGCAGTCATTGTTCAGCTTTACTTGGGATATGCTGTTTTCCTAGAAAAAATTGCAGGCAAGCTGTTTGAGTTGTTTCCAAGAGAGAATAAGAAAAGCAACATTCGCGATAGGAGGTTTTTTCTATATGAGTATTTCTTTAAAAGGCTTGTTAATTTTGTGGCCTAGTTCACAGTAAGGAGGAAAAAAAAAAAGCCAAATGTTGATATATCATCATTTTTGTGGTATTTACTAAATCTTTGGAACTTAATGGAGTGTGTGGATAATCAAAAGACCATGAAATTTATTTTACCCCACTTCAAAATATGCCAAATACCAAGAGGTTCTGGAGGTTTAGGATTGCTGCCAAAATATCTTTATGGTAGTATTTACCCATGGTAGGAGTATACTAGGCTTCTAATAGGAAATCTCAAAAGATTAATAACTTTATGGCTTTTTTCCTCCCCCTGTACAGACCAATAGATCTAATTTGAAAATTACTTACATTCAGTGATAATTAACGATGTAGGAAGACATCATGTATTGTTTTGGTATGAAGATAAAGCTCTGGCTTATTTGTAGGGTGTAAAGCTGGAGTCCTGGTTCATCTTATGTTCCAAGTCCCTGTGCTGTGTCTTTCCTATCAGCTAGCCATCTCTGACATGTAAAGCTGCTTGATAAGAGAATAATGAGGAAGGCAAGTTGAAGCTGGTCTTGTGGTGAGCAGCTGTTAACTAATTTTTTGTTTCGGTTCAGCTCAGAATTTTTAGATATGACATCGTCATGCTTTAATTTCCTTTGTATATTTTTAGGGGATGGGAAAAATATTTTTTAATTGTTAACTTTGCTTTAGCCTGTAACTGGTTGAATTTTTGCTTAAGGTGATGCAGGACAAAGACCTGGCAAGGCCTGATCCCAGATGGTTTTGTTTTGAGAATTCCTCTGCCTTGAGGTGCCTGTGGTGGATGCCTAGTTGACTTTTTTTCTTGGAGTGCTAAAATAAAGATTAACAATTAATTTTTCAGCATACATGTTTTCTAGAAGAGCACCATGTAATCACCTCAGAATTGATCTCATGTATTTTTATGCATTGGTGATGACTACTTTTTGCCTGACTTGTGCAGACTTTGTCTCAGGAGCTGAAGTTCCGTATTTTAACAATTATTTATCTCTGCATTATTTTCAACTTGTAAATATTTTAATATTAGGGATTAAATGAAATCTAGTGTTCTTGTGGGTGAATTCATGTCTCCTGCCATACTGCCTCCTAAACTGGATGTTACTTCCTCTGTCCTTGTGCACTGAGTAGTATCATCTTCCATTCTCAGATCCCTCTTTAAAAGACTTTCTGTAACTTAATCACTTAAAGTAGGCCAGTGTTTTTATGGAGTATATCATTTTGGTATCTTACAGAGTATGGTCTTTTCTTTTTGTCCCATGTGTTAAATCTATTTACCAGTTTCTGATGGGTAGCCAGATTTGCTTGCTTATAAAGCAAGGCAAGTGAGATTTATCCCAGAATGATGTGAGGAGAATTTCCCTCCTTTATATTGCTAATGTGTAGGAATTAGTCTCTGTACTTGCTATGCAGCATTAATAAAACTTAACTGGTTATAGCAGACCCTCTTTATTGCAAAGCACACTAATAAGCTTGTCTGCTGACCTTAAAGTCTAGTTTGGCTGAAAATTCATCAAAAAGCCACGTGGTTAAGAGCTTGTTTCCTTTAAACACGTGTAGAATGGTAATATCCCCAAAGTATCTTGCTGTATAATGATAGACAACTAAAAAAGAGAATTGTTATATTTCATACATTTCAAAACTCTGTTAAATGGTTCACCACCATATTCTCAGCTCTCTATTGTGCTGCAGTCTGTGTGCTCTGACAGTGGGCAATCTGATGTGATCATGTTCAGTCTTGTGCAAAAATTGTTGTACTGTTATGCAAAAGGTAATTTTTGGGTTTTCCCTGAGTGAAGTGCACATTATTTGAGAAGTTCTTCCTGCTCATAGATTTATGTAGGTTTATGTCTTTTACCTGAGGCCTTCTCATCTGTCAAAGTAAGATTCACTCAGTTGCTTAGTGTATGGATTTATTACTGTCTTAACTTTGCTTTTAATAAAACCCAAACTCTGACCTTCTGTAGTATTACACTGAGGGGGATTCAACATACCTAATAAAATCTTGAAGAGATCACTTAGAAGGTGAGTAGGCCAAGGTTTTGCTCTTATTTCTGGGCCTCTTCTTATGTCCTTGCTCTCTTGATCCATTATGATGGTAATTATAACTATCATTGGCTTGGTAATTAGAATTGAGTCTAGCACTGTTGTTGTGTAACAGAATTTAAAATAGGTTATGTCAAGGTAGGGAATCATTGTTATGGGAAATGGAATTTGTGTCATCCTGTCAGACTGATGACTTAACACTGATAAAGGGTAATGATATGACCATGTTATTGCAAGCACTTAATTTTGTCAGTCTGTTACCAAAGGAAGCTTATTAGAATATATACAAGAATACCCATAAACTTACTATGATTTCTAAATGTGTACTACATGGAATAGTTCAGGTTGGAAGGGACTTCTAAATGTCTCCAGTTCAACCTGCAGAAAACAGGCTCAGGTGCAAGGTCAGACAAGGTTGCTTAAGGCTTTATCCAGTTGGATCTTGGCAAACTCTAAGGATGGAGACAGCATAACTAGTCTGGGCAACATCCTTCTTCCCTGCTTCTCTTCTCCCTCTCTCCCCAGAAAATGGAACCTTACTTTTCTGGGTAGAACTGGCCTCTTCTAGCAGGGCTCTTCAGGTGGGCTTTTTAGGCAAGACTTACTAATCAAAAGACTGCAAGTCAGTAGTGGTACAGAAACAGATGCCTTTTGCATTCATATCAGCAAGGTGGAATGATTTATACCTGAACTACTAGACAAAACTGAACTTGTGCACCAGCTACTTTGTGCTACATCCCCTCTGCAGGGATGTCTGTGCATCTTCTAATCCAGAAATGAAGCCTTGAAGCTTTTTTTCCTTAGTC